AGAAGCGACTCCCCACGTACTTTCCCTGAGTGGGATTATGAGACCCTTAAACAGAATCGCAGAATAAGCAAATGCATCCAGCAAAGAACCAAACGGGCTGGCTTGCTTACCTCGTTGCGACGTGGCACATGAAGCCATCGGTGACTGGGAAGAACCCAGCTTCACTCTAAAATACTCTCTCCAACCACTCTTTTCTTACAAATGGATTTTTCATTTCGATCACATCCATTTGCTTACATTTGATTCTGTGTATTCGGAGAGTTCGAGACTCGACTTTCTCAAATTTACACTTTCATCGTCAACCGAGCACTGCCTCGAGTTCATTGAGATGTCGTCAAAGGAAGTTACTGAAACACCTGTGAAATAAATATCTTTGGAGTAGGGATGATGATCTGTCAAAAGAAGGCCAACAATAACCTGTACTGTGTGGTGTTCTCGTATGATACCGCATTACAAATTCCGTGTCTTCAGACCATAAATCCAAACTTGGTTGCAGGAGATTTGGGACCACTCTGTAGGGAACGCGTGGTTAGCTTTCACAGGTTGAATCTTCTCAGTAGCCTCTCAAATGTTTACTTGATTAACTTATGGAGAACTTTGGTGTCGAAGTAACGCGGAAGAAATGAAACGTTCTAATCTTTACATAACGGGAAATGTGGACATTTTATTGGGAACCATTATTCCCATTATTCGAGCCATTTTTTCTATGTCGAAATCAATTTACACATGAAATAGATTGTACTTAACAAATTGATACGAGGAGATTAGTCTGAAAGATGCGTTTTCTCGGAGTGAGCACAATTGTACAGGAACTCTATCACACTAGGCACTGATAATGCATGTAATATACCAGACGGTATTATGATAACTGATGATAACGCTCTGAATTTACGCCTTCGTGACAAACTGACATATTTCGAGACTTAAGAATAGTGGGTCAAAAACGAAACTTCGGAATCATACCTGAAGGCAATTCCCGGTTACAGATTCGAAAGCTGTCACTATCACTCTTGAAAGCCCACTTTGGCTTTGAGTTTTCGGAGACCTTCAATCTTAGGAAACCACTGACGATACTCTATTGTAGGGGGCCATTTGCTTCTGAAGAAGTAATGCCCTTTCGTCAGGAATCCAAACATAAGGAAAGAGCAAGGCTGTCGCGAGTTCCTGACCCGCCTAATCCTTGCAAGAGGGGGGGGAATGAATTGCTTTTTCAAATCGGTGATGAGATTATCTTTACCATAGTTAAGGTCTATCGTTTCTCTACGTTCTCCCGTTCTGCCGCCGTACGTACTTGGAAGCTCAAAACGTGCCAGTTATAAAAAAAGGCATGTTTGTGGAGAATATAGAAGCTGGCAAAAAAATCAGGATTTTAAGAGCAGGACTTCCACTTTTCAGCGTTCAGTAATGGAGTTATCCCTAAGAGCCCTTTGGCGTTTTTAGATTTTCGCCTTCTCCTGCACCTCTAGCAGTAAGCCGCAAGCAAAATCCTTCTTGCGGTGTATCATCTGGTCTTATGCGTCTAAGGTCGCGCTTCGTTCTCTGACAGTTTTTGACCCCTTTATACATCAAGCATGTCAGCTAACCGTCCCTACCATCTAATTAACGTGTTCCATGAGGGCACGTTGTGTGTATGTATGTGCTTAATTACCATAATAAAAGCTAGCTACAATTTTTGTAATGTTCTGCTGATGCTTAAGCTTTGAATGTTACGTCGACAGCGTCGTTTGCGCTTTAAGGTGTTCGTCCTCCGTCGTTGAGTGTGCGTCTGTTCAGCCGCCAGTCGACTCACGACGGCGGCGATTCCGGCTCATCAACGACTCATGGCTCAACAAAATCGACAACCTATGTGCCTGAGTCAGGTTCTTTTGGTTTGTTTTGTGTAACTATGCATATTTGGCTATATGGTGTTTTTGGTTGAATTGCATGCACTGCCATGTAGCTAGCTAGCCTGACGAATTAGTCCTTCGTTCCCATATCTTGCCCCTTCTTGCATAGATTACCTTAACCTCTGACAAAAAAAGATTGACGATCTTACGATGATTTGAAGCCGTAGCACTGATATAGCTTGGAATGTGGAGCCATGGATAAGCTTGTCCCTTTTTCCCACTACCATGTAATACAATTTCAATCAAGCTACCCTCAGTGGTTTCGAACAGATCTGCAACATGAAGTTCTATACTGTTGTGAAACTTTTGACTAATTCTGGTTTCGCATTTAATTCTATGGGATTATGGGAAAATCTACCCGCCGGTGGGTGGAAAATTCGGGGTGGCGGTACTTCCCGAATTCTCACGGCAAGCGACAATGGTTCCGCGGCGGCTACGGTATCCGTTCACTGGAAATGCGGATCTTCCCCTTCAGAGCGCGCGAACGGATGCGGCGAACGCGACGCGATTTTCGGGCAAAAATACCACACCCACATATTCGCCTTGACCGAAGTCCAAAATCATAAGTTAGATTTTCTCTCCAAACTCTGGTCCTAGTTTATAATTTCTTCTTGTTCGCTCTATTTCGAAGGGTGAAGGATTTTAATCACGCTCGCTTATTCCCGTGGGTTCTTGATTGGGATCCTTCGCAAAACCTCTTATCTACCAGGTCCTAGTTACGAAGTATAACTACCCCCTTCCTACATCACCTCATCACCCTCAATTGCTTGTGTCAGGGAACTTGCGCGGTAAATCCACCAGTTAAATTAATGGAGCGGAGGGTTTGAGAAGCCACGCTCAAGCTGATTTTTACTCCGTACAAATGAATCCAATGGAACTAGTCATGAAAATTATTGACCACGAAGAGTTAGCTCCAGCTACAGTAATAGAGCTTTGGAGAAAATATTCCTCGAAGATGGGCAAAGCATGGTACTCAATCTTGGAACGGCCAGGACTGATTTTCAAACGTTTGAGGAGCCATCTCTTCGACGGAATCGCATGGAAAAGGTAAAAAGTGCCAAAAAGTAGTCGATGCTCGGAGTTCCGTTTAACGTGATGTGGAATGTTCTTTGCCACTGCCATAATACGTCATAATTGGAGGAATTAGAGGAAGTGCTTTCTTTGCAGTCAGAGTGTCAACGTTACTCCGTAGTCATGGACCTACCTGCCTTCCTGAACTATTCAGAAAAAGTAGCGTTAACTTGGTACCTGACCCTTGGTACCTTTTCTTTGAGTTTATAATTTCATTAGTCATTGGGAGAAATCCATGACAAAGATGTGTTGAAGGAGCTGAAATAGAGGTTAAATCAGTGCGTTCCAAAGTAACGGCTTCAAATCATCACATTCTCATTAGATTTTCTTGTTACCCTTCTTTCGCTTCTTTGTCAGGAGGTTTTCTTCTTCTGTAGAGTCATACTCATGATAATGAGCACTATGCGTGTAAAACTTTCTGATGAAGGTTCCCGACTCAATTGGGATCAGCTTCAAAAGCATTCTTTTCGTAGGTCGTCGAATAGCGGCTGGTCGACAACGACTGCTCAAACGCGGATCACCTATGGGACAACAACCGTCACTTGAATCCAGCCACAGGCGAAGGTCCCTTAGGTGAGTGATGTCGTTCTCAAAGTTTGCGGTAAATCCTACAACACTGTTTATCCGAAACTGACCATTTGTTCTACAAATATGCTCAAATAAATGCTATCACTTTCCTCCTCATGTCATTACAAAGCTATAATAAATTGCTGATAGAGTTTTTTCTGTAAAGCTCTGAGATTCCTTAGCCCAAGCACATTCTACGAGGCCATTCAGGGTCGCTCTGTGAATTAAAGGGCACAGTTCATGCTAAAAGTGGTTTCTGAAGTGTTCTCCATAGAATGAATTCGAGGCCTTCGTATATCAAATATGGCGCCATCAGGTCGAAAACCGGCCTAGTTAGGGCGTTATAAAGGCTTAAAGATTGCACCGTGTGTATCCTCGGACGAGTTTCACCGACACTGCAGAGGCTGCACCATTTACAAGGGAACCCATGAAGGAGGCTCATGCAACCTGCCTGCCCCATGTGGCAGCCAAAGACCATTAAGGGCAGTTTTAGCTTGATAGTCAGCTTATGGCGCAATTGCAACAACCGCAATCTCGTCCGAATGCCCCTTCCATGTTGTCATAGTAAACTCGCCCAACCTTTAATTTCCCTACTTTTGAGGAGCCTTATTCTTCTCAAAATTGGCGAGTTTCCTCGTTTTTTCCACTACCGATGAACTACTCTCAACCTGTACTTCCGAAGGCGTACCTCAAAATTATCGTGAACGGTGCCTTTAATGCACGTTTGGAAGTTTGACATCTTGATTAACACCTTCATCCGCTCTGCTCGATGAGCTGCTGCTGATTTCCGTTAGTCTCGAGCTTTTCCTACCGCTACTGCATTGCTAAAAGCAATTTCCTTCATTCTGATAAGAACTTTTCTTACTGTGACTGTTCTCAGCACTCAGTGGCTCTCGGTGCCAATTTTTGTCATTGCAGTCAATCTGGTAGGAAATTGATGAAATTTCACGAAACTTCTCACGTTGATTTACCCAGAACAGCAGGACAATTGAATACCTCTGTTCACTCTCACTCAGAGAGGCTCTGATGAACTATCGAATTTCCTTTTTACGACCGAATTTGGCCGGTGTCAGTCCCCGATCAAGTCACTCGGCGTTCGCAACTAATTTTTCTCCAAAATACACTATTTTCTAGGAAATAGCTATCAAGCAGTGGTCTCGACACGACTTTTTCCTTTGTTGGTCGCTTGGTTTACCATTTGTCACACTGGATTCTATTCATATTTCTTTCATTACGAACTGATTTCAGAACGCGCAAACAATCCAAGATGCAGTCACACCAGGATGACATCGAAGAGAGAGTTGAAGGTATGTCCACGTCTCCAAGCTTTCAGTTTGACGCAAAATCTCTCCTGTGTCCGCCGATAGGCGTTCTCATTCTTAGAAGATTCGGCAGTATCAGCGATACCGCGAGGCAGCCTTGCTCGCGGTTCCATATGGACCCTACGTGCTGCAATTCAGCATATGCCTGAATTAGCCGGTGCTCTTATACACGAAGGTGACGCCATACGTGACACAATCCTGCATCGTTCCCAAAGGAGTGTGCGGGACGGAAATTAGCCCAAATGTCCATTACAGTTCGCGTAATTTGAAGAAGTTGGCATTTTAGCTGACAGAGAGATAGACCAACTCTCAGAAGGTGGAGTTAGGACCTCCCGCACACTCTATTCCTGACCCGCGAGGCACTACATACCGTGCTTTCACAGCTTCCTCAGTGGTACTACTGCAGCATGCGCTTGAAGCCATTTTATCCCTTACATGGGCCCATATTGTGGCTTGTACTGCTCACCTCAGATGTGCTGAATTCATTGAAGACCCATGAAGTATCTCCCTCGCTAGTCCATGCGCTGCAATGGTATTTCCTGTAATTTTTTGCATGCTGATGTACTACTTCTCTACTCACTTTTCCCAACACCTATGATAAACCTTATTGTTTCATCCTTTGCCTAGAGAATTGTGATTATTCCAGTTCTGCAAGCATCTACTGGTAGGGAGTCGCTGAAACCTTCTGAAGAGCCGACAGCGCAGTCACCCACCGAAATCACGAACCCGGTGAGTATTTTCTGAGGCTGTATAAAATGAGTATGCATAGTATGAGGTTAATGATTTTTCTTAAAATTCTTACCTTCTCCTCCAGCCACAGAAGCCAAATGTTATGATATGGATAGAGGATACATGAATGCCTTGCTTTTTGATGAAGTTTGGTCGGAAAGATTCAAAGTTTAGGAGATAGAGCGCAAAACATCTTACTCAATCTTAGAGTCTACATAGTAGTGTTTCAATTTCACAAAAAGTTTCAAACCTAAGGTTCACTTCGATAAACTGCTAATTCATTATGTATCTAGGAATCAAAAAACAAATTTCATGCATTCTGTGTCCATATTTTCATGAAGATGCAAAGTCATGGCAGCTCACAACAGGGAAGTGCTTATGGGACATCGCAACCGCCACCAAAATCTCAGTTTGACGATGAGGAGCAGCAAATACTCTCCAATTTGCCGTGGATAAAGGTGAGATTGCTACAGCTTGAGTTAGGGTGTACGGAGAGTTTTAAAAGGGTAAAGATAAAGCCTCGGGGCGTTAGACGATCTCGTCTGAGGGATGCGCCCCCGCATTCGACTTCCTTTCAGGATCGTAGTGGCGGATCGAATGCGTTTGTGGCCTATACAATGACTTGCGGGGGACAGCTGATGTTCAAGCTAGTGCTTTTAAGCTCCCGGACGAGTCCGGTACCAATTAAGTGATCCCGAAAGGCTCGGTTGGCCTGTGCGGATATCGATCGG